ACTAAAAAACAAAAATTAAACTATCAAGTGTTCACAGGCATGAGTTATACAGGCCAATACATTGTGTGTGTGTGCATGCCAGTGTGATGCTGGATTAAGTCTCTGATTTCTACATCTGCAACAAGTGCCCTCTCAGACCTCCCAAGGCTTGTGGTTCTTGCTTCAATGGTCACCAGCTTTTTTTTTCTTCCCCCTCCCCCACCCTAATGTCTATTTCTTACTCAATCCGTGTGAGCTAAGAGTTTTTTGTTTAGCTTTTAACACTGTTACTCTTCTTTCAAGAGTACTTGCCAAGAGATGGCCTTTAAGCTAGGAAGTGTTTAGAGCTCTCTGTGCTGTGTTTAAATATTAATCTTCATCTAAATGCAGCTGTGCATGTGAGGCTATTAACATTTAATGAGGCAGTTCATGTTTTCTCTACCTGTTTAAAGTAGCAGCAGCCTAGCTTCTGCAGAGCAGTGAAGAGAAAATAGTGTGCTCAAATATGGTTGTAGCCCTCTTGACATAGGAGAGACTTGCCACTTTCTAGTATTTAGGATTGACTCTCTCCTGTACTTTCCTGGACTCTGGGGTGGGAAGGTGGTTTGAGACCCACATGTCCCTTCCAAACAGATTGGGGGGGACATAAGAAATGTAACCTTGATCTGACTTTCCTAGAAAACTAAATACATTCCACAAAGTTTGGGTCTGGTATCAGTCTGTAACCCACTATGATAGACTTGCTTAAAAGAAAACAATTTCCCCCTCTGGTGAGGGGCAAGGCTTGTTGGATGTGTGAACTGACAATGTGGGGCCTGTAATGAACACCACTACATCACTCATGCCCAGTGAGATGTCTAAATCAAGAGTTATTTACTAGAATTGTTACGTGAAATGAGTTTATTTACAAACCTAAAGATGTGAGTGGCAGTTCCTCCTTTTGGCAGGAAATAAAGTATAAATCTTGCATGTCAGTCCAGGCCATTGCTGAAGTTTGCTTACTTAGAGTGTGTCCAGAGGAAGGCTTTCAAACAAATGGCCCTGGGCTTGACTGTGGCATGCAGAGTACAGCTTATAATTGGATGAACAGACTTTTACTGAGTGGGTATGAATAACCTAAGTATTTTCTCCAGTGATAGGCTTTGAGCACCTACTGACTGACCACCTAGTCCTATAGGAATTTAACTTCTAACGTGAAGCTGGAGTCAAGAACAAATCATTGGTTCCCCAAGAAATCTATTAAAGGTGACAGAGGGACCAGAGAAAGGAAGTGAAGAGGAATGCATTAGTCCATGTTATGAAGCTAGAGGCACACTTGAACCCTAGGGGATACAAATGCTGGCATAGTTCTAATCTGAAACTATGGGAAATATCTGCATGACCTAAACTGGGGGGCAAGGAGAGGGTTGTGAAAAACTTAGCGTCTCCCGCTAGATCAGGAAATACAGAATCTAGATTCTAGACAAGATTTTGCTAGTGTCTGTGTGTTACCTTAGAGTGTCTTGTTACTTTCTCTGCCTTAGTTCTCCCATATTTAAAATGAAAGTAATGCAATTTTACTTTAGGTTTGTGGGACACAACTAACTGCCCTTGTAAAACACCTTGAGGGCTTTGGGTGACTGATACTACTAAAAATCATACTTTAGTTAAATCAGTACAAAAAAGTTCCTGTCGATGGCTCAGTATGGCTTTTGCCATATTGAAAATGCAACCCTACTAATACAAACAAAAAAAAATCCTCCTCCTCTTTCTCCCCCTCCCCCTCCCAAAAAAAAACAGGAAAGATGAAGGGGAATCCATTTCAGCCATAGATCTTATCCCTCAATGCACAAATCCCACCTCTTAGTTCACCACCTCATGCCTCAAAAGCCTGGAATTAAGAGAGGTTCTTAGCAGACTAGCCAGAGACTTCAGTATTTCAGCCTGTTGGTCTTATCTGTGCTTCTAAAACCTTACACTGGTAGGAGTCAGAATGCTGCTTTTAGAAATTTTGTTCTGGCCCTACTGTACTCTTTTTCTTTCTTTGAGGAAAAGAGCCTGGATTCAGTAATGCCTCGTGTGAGTTTTTGAAAGGTTCATTTTAGCTGAAAAGCTCGTTCACTGCATTTTGTGAAGCATATTGCAAGAGAGTCCCTTATTATAAATATTGTCCTAGGAGATGAGTGTGTTATCTGGACAATGGTCTCCAGGCCACATTCTTGGGTGAGCAAAGATTCAGTTACAAATGATGTCTATGTGATGCGGGGTAGTGAAGGCTGGTCCATATTAACCAATGAATCCTCTGGTCTATCTACTCTTCCTGCCCACTGATTGATAAAAGGAATGAAACTCTATAGGCTTCAAGAAAGGACTATGTGGAGAACGGGCATGTATAGATTTTCAGAACTGCCTAGGCACCCAACTCCCATTGACACCAATAAGAATTTGAGACTTCAGAACTCACTGAAGTGCTTGTTAATACTTGGCACTCTAGGGCTTGCCAACACACATCTGTTAGTGGTGGGGAGGGAGAACTTTTTACCTCCTGAGGCGGTATTTTGTGTGTGTGATTAATACAAGTTTGCCAGCATCTAGTTGCCGTCTCAGGTTCTGACCGGTAAAGCGAAAACTGCTCCTTCACCCCTACTCAGTCTTTTTCAAACCTACAAATAACTTTTGCCACTTCGAAGCTTATGCTCAAATAAATTGGTTACTCTCTAAGGTGCCACAAGTACTCCTTTTCTTTTTTCTGATATGCTATGACTCTCTTCCTCTTGCAGAACAGAATTGGAAAAATGAGCAGTGCAGCAGCTTCTTCTCAACTGAAGTCTAAAGGAAGCCTACCCCAGGTTCTTTCCCCAGTGAAACTTCTATGCTAGGTGCTCAGCCTCCAGGACACAATAGTATCAGAGTAGTTACAAATGCTGAAATGAGCAGCTTTGGTTTGAATCCTGAAGATATGATGCATTTTACACCAGAAGCCAGCCAAACATCTTGCAGACTCTTGCTGAACAGTAGTCCAATCACAGACAGCCCAAGAATGAATGCAACGTCTCAGGTGTCTGAACGAAGCTTGCATGTCTCTAATCTCTCTCCTATTTCTCTTGAAAAGAATGATAGAGCATCAACATGTTTTTCAGATGAAAATGTGCTACCAAGAATGGAGTAGATGAGCAAAACTGTCATACAATCTCTGTTTCCTCTGCTGAAAAGGAAAGTACTTAAAGATGGGACAGAACAAAGTGTACAAAACTAAAACTCTTTCTGTTAAAGTGCCTATTTCAAAGAGGTGCAGCTTCCAAACTAGTCTGTCTGATGATCCTTCTCTGGTGACAAAACCAGAGACTAGCAAACATCTCAGGTGCTCTCCTGGCCAAATGTGTACTTAGGAAAATGGGCCCAAGGTGGCAAAGAGCAGGTTACCCCTCTCTGTCAAATACTTTGGTCCCTGTCCTCAACAGTGACCAGATAACCAAAACATTAGGCAGCAAAACTGCAGAGTCTCCAAAAGGTTCTGATGTCCCTAGAAAGGAAGCTGTTAAGAACACTGCAAATGTACAAAGCCCTATACGCCCTCATGGAACTCCTGTTAGGGAACTAGCTGCTCATCTGTGGGTCGCCATGATGAGAACCTGAAAGAGTTGCGGGGGGGACATTCAGTGAAAGCCAAGTGGCTCAACCTTCTGGCAATGTGAGGCCAACATCTGGTGATTCTTCAGCCATGGATCTTTTCTGTGAAAACGGGGAGCCATGGCCATGTGGAAGAACAGTGGAGGACCTCTTCCAAAGGAGGGTGTTCTGGAGATAACAGTGCCATCAGTGTGGCAGTCAGTCAGGCCACTGACCCAAAGGTAACTTTCAAACAGTGCAGTGATCTAACCCATGACCGCAAAGAGTCATATACTGAGTTCCAGCATACAACTAGAATTGCCCTTTCCTGTGCCCTTGCCCCATCTCCTTTCCCAGCCTGCCTCCAGTATGAATATCCAGTGTCCTGCCTGTTGGTTCAGCTCCCTAGATTAAAAACTGAGCATCAGAACTTGAAACCACCTCAGACTCTCAATAAACAGGGGCCTAGTTACTGGCTCCTCTGTGCTTGTCAGCAGCTCCTATTGAAGCCAGTATGATCAGTCTGTAGATGTGTTGCTAATCCTCTTCCTCTTTCCATCTCTGTTTTAATCTACAACTACTGAGTCATTAACATTAAACTCAGTCTTACTGTACTCTTTAAATGCCAGTGGGCTCAAGTAACATATTCCAGATCTGAATTTTGAATGCCTGGGATTTTGGTTCTGTCCATTGTAAAGATAAATGACTCTCTTTGCCAATTTCAGAATCTGGCTTAGATTTCAAATGCCTCTAAATTTTGAGGGGGTGGTTGAATGTTTAAAAATGTGCATCCAATACCTGACAGTCAAGCCTGGGTAGCAGTGGTCCTCTGTTTGGAATCAGACTTAACATTTTTCTGATGACCTTTCTGGAGGCCAGCAACAAGAGGAGCAGCCTGGATTCTATTCCTTGTGCTGTATACTTGAACTAGACCAGTTGGTGTGCTGTCTGCGTGTATTGAGTAAAGGCACATAGAAGGATCCTACCTACTGATATCCTCTTGCTGATAATAGCTCATCTTAAATAATTAGCCTCTCACAGTTTGTATGGCAACTTCAACTTGTGTGTGTGTGTGGAGATATATACCCACATATACAATCTTCTTACTATATATTCCATTCTATGCATCCGATGAAATGGGCTGTAGCCCACAAAAGCTTATGCTCTAATCAATTTGTTAGTCTCTAAGGTGCCACAAGTACTCCTGTTCTTTTTGTGGATACAGACTAACACAGCTGCTACTCTGAGACCTACCTACAGCTGTCTGGCTCAACTTGATACCAGACTAAGTGGGTCCTACTACCTCCAACTCAAGAGTGTAAAACTGTTTGAGTGTTCCACTGAGGCAGTGAGAGCTGGGGGCAGGAGCAGAGCTGTAGCCAAGGTACAGCCAAGCCCAAGATAAAGTTTGGGTTCAGAATATTAATTCTCACATGTCAGAAAAGGCAAAGCCTGAGATGGTGGTACACTGGAACCATATCCAATGTAGGCATGCTGTGCTAGGAGCAGGCATGTCACCTGACCAAGCACAATTCATTGCACTGATAGGAGATGTAGAGTTTAGCATTGACTATTGCATTTAAAAATACAGCAGACTCCAGACAGCAGTTGGGTTCCAACTGTGGCAACTCAAACTAAGGCCACGTCTACTCTACACGACTGATCGGCAGGTAGTGATCGAGCTATTGGGGATCGATTTATCTAGTCTAGTGTAGACACAATAAATCGATCCCCGATCGCTCTGCCGTCGACTCCGGAACTCCACCACTGCAAGAGGCGGAAGCGGAGTCAATGGGGGAGCAGTGGCCATCGATCCCACGCCGCGAGGACGCGAAGTAAGTGATTCTAAGTCGATCTAAGATACATCGACTTCAGCTACGCTATTCTCGTAGCTGAAGTTGCATATCTTAGATCGATCCCCACCCCCAGTGTAGACCAGGCCTAATTGTCTCTACAATAACATTTTTCTGACTTCACAGAGAACAGTAAGTTGGTATAAAATGTGTTGTGTCCCTTTCTGGAAAGGAAATACTGATCCATCATCCTTACACAAACAGGCAGCTGCTTTTCTCCTATGACTGTTGTTTTGGGTCTCAGAATCCAGAGGATAAGGGATATGCCCGTCAAGAAGTAGTGTACGGTCTGTTGGCCCAGCCACTTCTAGACGGTCTTTGAAGGTTACAATACTTGCTTATTTGCTTATGGACAAACTGGATCTGGGAAATCTTACACATAAGACCTCTACTATTAACTTTATAACTGCTCTCTCCAGCCATCTGAGGCTTATTTGAGGCAACAAACTAAATCCAGCCACTTGATCAGAATCTGCCACTAAGTAATCCTTCTCTAGAAAAGTTTAATTTTCAAAACCTTAGGTGGTGAAACTCCTATAACTCAACCAAAGAATCAAAAACTGTTTTAGAATGAAGCAAAATCATAAATTAATCTCTTGTAAAGACAAAGATGGCAACTGTCATAAATAACCTCTTTCTAAACTAGCTTGTGTAACAACTGTTTAGCCTATAGAATAGTGAGGATGCTCAGAATGGAATTTAATAAGCATGGTGCATCTGTTTCCTGTCCCAAAGTGAAACATGTGATGGCTTTCTCTTATCTGTGGGGTGTACTTGTGACTTGGCCAGATGGAAATCATTTTGCCATATTAAGGACCGAGCAAAATTGAGTGCCCTTTTCTGACTAGGGTTTTCAGCACAACTAACCATGGGTCTCGTCTTCAACACAATGACAGGCTATGCTGATGAGGTGGGCATAATTCCACGATTTTGCAAGGAAATATTCTGGAAAGTAAATCTGACTCAACAAGAGGAGGTAACATTTTTGCTTAATATTTTCTAGTAATAAAGTCTCCAGTCTCTCCATTAGAGCTGTCCAAAAATTGGCCAGGGCACCTTATGGGGTTGTCTCTCCCTCCATTAATCTGGATGAAAAGCTATCACCCCTATAAAACTGTTCTATTTTTAGTATCAGCTTCTCCCTGCTGAGGCTTGGATAAAGACAAAATATATCAGAAAAGAGTTTTGTGCCTTATGCTAGTTTTAATCCTTCCATTTAAAAAAAAGACTGTTTCTAATAAGCCATGTTTCAGATATATTGTAGGTAGGTCTATACAAATACTATCGTAAAGGATTATCTATAATAGTTCTTCCTATTAGCTGAATTGAAGATAGCATTTGCATCTGCACTAGTGACAATGATAAGCTTAAAGCTTACGTAACACCAAATGTGCACAGGGCTATATGGTATTAGGGCCTGGCATCGCATATAATGTAACTTTTTGAGATGGCCAACTACATAAAATGAGCTGCTCCATTCAGAATGCCCTGTGTTTGAACGCTAAAATGGATTTTTGAATCCCTTCTCTTCCCCCCGTCCACCCCAGTATTTGCAAATGCATTCTTCTCCCTTATTCCAACAAGTGAAACATCACATTGAGTTGAGTTACTCTGAGGTATACAGTGAGCGGATACATGATCTCTTAACATCATCCGAAGATGTTAATGCCAAGAAGAAAGCTCGAGTTTGGAAAATGTTACATATTTACCTGCAATACTGAACCCCAGCTGTAATGCCCTTCCTTGCGACGAAATGGGGGCTTGATTCTTTCCTGATTGATTGTATGTGACCTGGGCCATATTGGGCCAGATTTTCCCTAGAGCTCTAGGGAGGAATTCTCCCTTCTATTATGGTCCCTTTAGCTAGCCAAGGGAGAATCCCCCTGGTGTGAGCCTGCATCAGGCAGCCATAGGCTGTCCTACACAGGTCCCCTCAAAGCTCAACATTGACAGTGTGAGGTGGAGCCATAGTTCTCTGTACTATGGAGAATCTGGGACAGGACCCAGTTGTGGCAGGCGCAGCATGAGGTAGAGCTGCATGACATACAATTACATTCTGTGCTCCCTAAATTACACTAGGGGCTATTTCAGCCATCAATCTTCCAGAATCCTGAGGGCACAAGGTGGCTTAAACCTTTATCCTCTTCCCCCTGCCCTATGCCTCCTGAAGGTGTCCCAGAGTCCCACCCTTAACTGTGCAAATGTGGTGGTAGAGGCAATGGTCCCAAACAACAAGCCTGTGCCATTAAACCAGTCACACTTTCCTGCTAGTTGAGGGTATCCATGTTTTGATGAGCTGATAGTAACTGTGAGCCATTTGGCAAGAGCCTGCCAGAGACCATGCCTGTAGCTTTTGGTTCCACCTGTCTCAGTTGTTCCAGTTTCATAGAATATCAGGGTTGGAAGGGACCTCAGGAGGTCATCTAGTCCAACCCCCTGCTCAAAAGCAGGACCCATCCCCAATTAAATCATCCCAGCCAGGGCTTTGTCAAGCCTGACCTTAAAAACTTCTAAGGAAGGAGATTCCACCACCTCCCTAGGCAACGCATTCCAGTGTTTCACCACCCTCCTAGTGAAAAAGTTTTTCCTAATATCCAACCTAAACCTCCCCCACTGCAACTTGAGACCATTACTCCTTGTCCTGTCCTCTTCCACCACTGAGAATAGTCTAGAACCATCCTCTCTGGAACCACCTCTCAGGTAGTTGAAAGCAGCTATCAAATCCCCCCTCATTTTTCTCTTCTGCAGACTAAACAATCCCAGTTCCCTCAGCCTCTCCTCGTAAGTCATGTGTTCCAGACCCCTAATCATTTTTGTTGCCTTTCGCTGGACTCTTTCCAATTTATCCACATCCTTCTTGTAGTGTGGGGCCCAAAACTGGACACAGTACTCCAGATGAGGCCTCACCAATGTCGAATAGAGGGGAACGATCACGTCCCTCGATCTGCTCGCTATGCCCCTACTTATACATCCCAAAATGCCATTGGCCTTCTTGGCAACAAGGGCACACTGCTGACTCATATCCAGCTTCTCGTCCACTGTCACCCCTAGGTCCTTTTCCGCAGAACTGCTGCCTAGCCATTCGGTCCCTAGTCTGTAGCTGTGCATTGGGTTCTTCCGTCCTAAGTGCAGGACTCTGCACTAGACTAGTCAGAGTCCAGGAGGAAGACCCTTCTGGGGCTCACCTATCTGAGCAATCACTAAAATTCAGCTTGGGACCAGTGTCACTTCTTGCCAAATGCCTGGCATTAGTCTTATTGCAGCAGAAGTTAGTCAGTCAGTGTGGCCCTTAATGGAGGGGAAGAACATGCTTGGGAGTTCAGAGGGTTCTGAGTGGTGGTACTCAAGCACCTGCATGGGAGAATCACTCCCTGGATCCTGATGGTGGTCTTACTACTGCATGCTGAAGCAGAGGCCACATCTGGGACTGTTAATATGGGGATGGGGTAAGAAGCTGGAGGAGTCCATTGTAGTCAGAGCAGAGACTACAGGCTTCGCTGCTGGAGGGAGAATCCAGTGTGGGAGAATGCAAGACTATTAAGATCTCTCCTTCAATCTTTGCTTGGCGTTTTCTATCATGATGCGTCTAAATTCCCAAGGTGTCCACCTTTCATGCCTTGCTATTGCTTGTGTTAAAGAAGTAACCCTAATGTAATTAATCTTCTCACACACACCCCGATTTAGCTGAAAGTACGAGAATATCCAATCCTTGGTCCTTATGTAACCGGCCTGTCTATGTAAGTATAGTCTGTTAATTTTTTTTTTTTAAGGTAGTACAGTTTCACAAACTCCTGCATCAGTTACCATCCTCCTGCCTCCACACTGTATCTAGTACAATTGTCCTACTTTTAAAGATACACTTCTGTTTGGGCAACAAACTCCAAGTTTACTGCATGCTCAGTTGTAAAAATGAAGACTGACTCTACATCTACACTACAAAAATAGCCCCACGGCAGTGAGTCTTGGTGTCCGGTTAAGACTTAGGCTCACGCTATAGAGCTAAAAATATCCATGTTAACATTCCTGCTCAGGCTGGAGCCCAAGCTCTGAGACCTGTCCCTCTTGCTTGGTTTCTGAGCCCAGGCTCTGGCCAGAGCAGGAACATCTACACTACTATCCTGAGTCAGTTAGCCAGGCTGTGAGACTTGTTGTCATTTGTGTGCAGGGGAGGTGGGGTGTGTGGGTTTTTTCCAGTACTGACATACCCAGAGATTTCTGCACTGAAGTCAATGGGTGGCTCGCAGGTATAACAACAGTTTGTCCCTTACTGTTTAACTTTCCTTTAAACTGTCTAAAATGAGAATCTTCCCAAATCTAAACTCCTTCAGGCTTTCCTCTTGGAGATGGGAGGGCATCTAGAAACTTGGAGGCAGACCTGCCCCCACAGTCTTGATTACAGCCTGGAACTGGTGTTGGATCTGACAGGATCTGAGCTTCCGTGACTGCTGCTACTCAGAGCTGAAGTCTGAGCAGAAGTGCAGATGACCCCTTATCCTGATGAGGCCTTATTTGAGCAGTAGCCTCAGTCTAATCCAGCTCTAAACAGACTCCAAAACTTTTCTCTAGATCTCAGGATGTTGCTCTTCCCCTTCATGGTCAGACCAGTGAGCAGTTCAGTTGTGTCCTGTAGGATATAGAAGGGTGCCTCACTTTCCCACTGGGAAATCGATAGAGTTGGGGTGCATGAGGAGATGCTCCTATAACCTGGGATAACTCTGGGGTGTACAGGAGAGAAGCCTCACCAAAGAGCTTTTTAGATAGTAGGCTCAAGCTTCTAAAGCCATCAGGGCACCAGGTATCCTGCATAGTGTTACCACTAGTGGAGTGTCCTGGTGGAGAGAAGCTTAATTGTTCCAATCAAAAAGCAATGTATATAATGGCTTAACAAGTTCCTTTCAGCTAAGCCATCCTGGAAAGCTGACACTTGCTATTAACAGCAGGCTATCCACTGAATTATAGCTCTTAGCCCAAAGGCTTAGAGCTCTGGACACAAAGATGGGCCTAATTATAGGGACTCCAGACAAGTATCTGCACATGAGACCAAACTCCTTGATACTGATCTATTAAAACAGGAAGCATCGCACTTGACAACTCTCCAAGGTTTAAGCAGAGGCTGCATTAATTTCAAGGGACTAGTATTAACAGTATTCTAATCTCTCCAGCCCCAGATGAAAAACAGGGTTAGCTCAGCTCAGCACTGTGCGTGCTATGTAGCTGCATTGCACTCTGATCAACATGAAGCTATCTCATTGATTCTGCTGTTACGGTTCTCATTGTAGAATTAACTGGAAAGATTATTTCCAAGTAAAACAGATAAATACATAGCACTTACATTGTGCTTTATCTTCAAAACACTGTGTGAATATAGTTAAGAATTATCCCTACAAGATAAGAAGATAGCAAAACTGAGGCATATGGGTGGTGTGATTTGACCAAGACCCTGCAACAAATTGGTGGTACCTTTTGAGACTAGAACTCAAGAGGTCTGGACTCACATTCCCTGGCTTAATCAGTAAACAATTGTTTCTCATACTGCAAGAAGTCTCTTCAGAACTATTGCAGATCCTGCTGTTGCAGGAGTATGTGACTCGCACAAAACAGAGAATGCAACCTCATGGCACACAAGTTGTGCAGTGTTCAGACTGACTGTATCCAGACAGCCTAGAACTGGCTTCTTAAAATCAAAATGAAGCTCCTGTACTTGTCTCTCAAAGATGTGAAAGGAGTGGCTTGCTTTAGGGGGTGGAAAACGAGAACTCCTAAGTGTTGCTAGTTCTGGATGGTAGCGTCTCATCAGCTGGACTCTGAGGAATATGCTGCCATTTTTGCAAGGCAGCATGACTCTTATGGGGGAATGGGGAAAGGAAGCCTGAGATTTGGAAACACTGGAACAACCTAACCACTGTGGCTGCATCTCTTAACTGTTCCTGTAGTTAACATTAACTTCCAAACAAGACCCTGCAGTCCTGGGCACTCAGTGTTTGCACAGCTAAGGGCTGCGTTAGTCAGCTGGTCAAATCTGGCAGGCTAGACCTCATTTTGGCCTCCTTTTCTAACACAGAAAATATTGCAGGTCCCTCATGTGGCCCAGCTGTCTGGCTCAAGATGGAGGGCTGCCTACTGGGAGCTGTGCTCACTACAGGCTATGCCTCCGTGTTTCCAGATCAGGGTGACCACGTTGTGGGACTCCATAAGCCTGTACTTCAATATGTGGGGTGTATTGCTCTCTCGACTCATTCAGCTAATTTCCCGGACCATGCCGGTACCTGGTAGCGAAAGGAGACCATCGTGCTGCCAGATGCTCTTTTTAGTCTAACACAGTTTTTCTCTTCTCTTGATAAAGTTAAAATAAACAGTCTCTGGAGTGAATTAGAGGCATCAAAATTGGATTGGCATCCAAACCGTGGAGCAGTTGGTGGTTGGGAGTCTGGGGAAAAAGAAACAGCAGGCTTTAGCTAGAGGGGACAACAGCTTTATTTCCCTCATGTCCTTGACAACGAAGCAGATGTCCTACAATTATTATTTTACCTTCTAGTAATATAGTGCCTCTTTCCTATCCTCCCAGGTATGTGGTTGGCTCTTTTGCAGATGTTCAGGTAAATCTGCCTTAGTTCAAAGCTCTGTTAATGCATCACTAGCTCCATCTACTGCTGTCGTCTTCCCTGCATCTTTATTCCTGATAGTGGCTAACTGGAATCTAAACTAGCTATTTCTGCTTCTCTCCAATCACCTTTATGGATGGAAATAAGTGTCCATCCTGTTGTGAAATGGACATTAAATATGCCAGGAGCTTGCCTGCTGTCCTTAGCCAAGCCATCTTTTCCTCCGCCCATTATTGTGCAGTGGACTCGGTACCAGCTGCCTTTTACTTGTATGATGCTGTGTCCTGTTGGAGATCCCACCGTGCTGTATAGCACCTTTATGGAAATGCAAAATAGTAAGAGCTTAGATATTTTTCAGGTTGGGGAAATTTGTGGGGGATGGGCATTATTTGCCTAATGGCAATACCCAAGATCAAATCCCCTTTATAGTAGGTGCTGTACAGACACAAGACAGTGCTTGCCTTGAAGAGCTTACAACGGAACTACTACAAAGCAGCTCAAGTGCTTTGGGGGGGGGAGTGGGGGAGGAGAGACAACCGAGGCACAAAGTGAACTGATTGGCTCAAGGCCATGGACCAGCTGTATGGCAGGCTTGAGAATAGAACCTACATCTCCAAACTGTCTAGTGTCCTGTCCACTGGACCATGCTACCTCTGAGTGGTATGGGAACAATTTTTTCCTCCGTGTGTGCAGGGGGTGGGCAGGAGGGGGCAGATCAGCATATGTAGGCAAAACTTTGGGGTTGCACCTCTCAAAAGGAGGTTGTGGTCATGCAGTACTTCCTAAGACCAATGAATAAGTCTAATCACAGACTGGAATGGCTAGAAATTGTACTTTATACTGCCAAATGGTATACCAGTATTGACTTGGGATGTGAGATTGAGCTTGGTCCTTCAGTACAGTGTGAACAGATGTCCATGTACAACAAAACTCAGCTGCTTTCCCACAATGCTCTCTGCTTTGCAATGAGGATGAATTAGGTAAAGAGGGACAGCTTCTGGGTCTGAAGCACTGGGTACCTGAGTGGCTCTGTCTCATGGAAATAAGTCAGATCTCTTGCCAGTGACTTGCTCACTCTAGAAAGAGATAGAGGGAGAGAGAGAGTGTGTGTGTGTAAAAACAACATTTAGGCCGTCTGTTTGTCTATTGTATTGCTGTGTTTTCTCTGGTAACCTGGTGACCGTGCCAACACCCATAGCTGCCTCTGGGGAAAGAGTGCCAAGTAAAATGAATAGTTAAGGTACCAGGCTACTAAATGTAAAAATGCTCTGATGTTCTGTTGCTCAGTCATTCAGTTCACCTGCACAAGCCCTTTCCCAAAGGTGAAGATCTGTATGCAAAAGGGGATTTCAGTAAAATTGAAACTATGGCTCAACCTGTCTGCCCCCCTGACAGTTTAAAAGGCTGTGGAGCATATCAGTGGCATTAACTTACTGAAGAATGTACTGTACGTGAATCCTGGGTAGCATCAATATTTAATCTTTTAGTTGTTGCTTAACTTTCAGGGATGACTGTGGGGCAGGTCTTAGGGGAACAACAAATGATAATTTGGGAATTAGCTGCAGTAGTGCTGTTGCTGTGATCTAGCCTGGCTGTGTTTGGGCTCTCGGGGCTTGGTGGATCTTGCACAGTATCCTGCAAGATGTGTGGTGACTCTGTCGTCAGTGTCCACTCACTCCTGCAATCCCTTCTCATGTGTGGGGCGCTGCGTGGTGAGGTACTCTGGGTGCTGAATGCATTCCAGGAGCTGGTAGTATTTATCAAACAGGGTACTGAAAGTACAAATCTTGGCACTTGCTTTGTCCTGGAGAATCTGCCAAATGCCTGCTGACATATCTAACTCGCTGAATAATTTTGTGCTCCTGCCATTTTAGCAAACTGTCCATTCCCTGTGGGCAAGTGGAAATGTTCCCATTTAATGTTCTTGTTCATCTCCTTTGGTTTGAGGCATACTTTTTTTTTTCCTCTCTCTCTACAGTCCCTAAGGAGTGAACCTCTTCTCCTGGGTCTCCTATGGATGATGCCATTAGCTGTCATGTTTTGCAGCTTTGTCTGGTCTCTCTTCCAGGGCTTCTGGACCATTTCATGTGGCATGCCTTTCTGGTTCTTTCTTTCCATAACAGTAACTTATGCCCTCTTCCAGCAATTTCAGTGCAGTTGTTTGATGGATGAACCTCCCCCATTAAATCTTATAGCAATGCACATAACATTCTCCTCTGAAAATGCAGAGGGTTTCTGTCTCTCTAGCTTGCTCTCCTAATCTGTATGCAGTGTTGTAGCTAAGTTGGGCCCAGGATATTATCCAAGTTGGTCCAGTAAAAGATATTATCTCTCCTAAACTGAATTTTTATGAAAAAAGAAAAGGAGTACTTGTGGCACCTTAGAGACTAACCAATTTATTTGAGCATAAGCTTTCGTGAGCTACAGCTCACTTCATCGGATGCATACTGTGGAAAGTGTAGAAGATGTTTTAAACATCTTCTGTATTTTCCACAGTATGCATCCGATGAAGTGAGCTGTAGCTCACGAAAGCTCATGCTCAAATAAATTGGTTAGTCTCTAAGGTGCCACAAGTACTCCTTTTCTTTTTGCGAATACAGACTAACATGGCTGTTACTCTGAAACCTGAAATTTTTATGGTATACTCAAGGCCTAATGAAATAGGCATGCTTGATCTCATCTGTCTCTACTTCTGCTCTTGATTTTTGAACTGTCTGGTCAACACTTGTCTCTCCTTCCAATCTCAGTGCTTAGTTCTAATGTCCACCAAGCTCTCTCCTGTGCGCTGGAGATAGGCATTTGTTATGTTGGCCCAAAGAACTGAGGTCCTCCAGTTGATCCTATCTATCATCAGAGAGAGAGAGAGAGCCCTACTAGCTAAGCTGCTGGCTAAATAGACTATCGAATATTCTGTCAAGGCAGCATCAGTGTACTGCAGTGTAAGCAATGCCATAGATTCACTGTCCATTTATCCCATCAACGGTGCTTGCAAATAAGCTTTGAGACTTCTTTTTTGGAAGAACGAGATTCACTAATGAATTGTGTTTCCAGGTCAACTATCTTCAAAGCCTTTAAGACAAAAAATGTCTAAGCCATGCATCTATTGTTTCCCCTCTCCTTGGCTGTTTCCACAGTTCATCTGGTTAATTCTCTTAACTGACCATGGAAATCAATTAACCTGCTCCATGCTGAGACTGACATCCTCTGCTAAATGGAACAAAATTGCTCCTTTCTCCAGTCAGGCTGAGAATGTTGGGGGGGTGGGGGTAGGGGTGGAGGGGGAGAATGCTGCTTCTAGGAATAGTCAAGCTGATCAAAATCAACAGAAAGCAGATTTTTTTTTTTGAAGTCTGAGCCCTTCTCTTCAAAACTGCATATGGCACTGCCATGCAAAACCGTTCCGATTTGCAGGGCACATTAGGAGCTGACTGAATCCAGAATTCGGGAAGGGGAGGAGGGGAAAATCACAGGTGAGCAGAGAGAGAACCAGCTTAGGGACTGATTGTCCTTGTCTGCTGCAGCTGCTCTCCAGATTTGCTGCTAACATGTGGTAGCCTGGAGTTTGTAATGGGTATTTGATAAGGCAGAGAAATAAGTGGCTCCCCTTACCCGCCAGAGCAATTGAGGTGATATCTTGAACCGCTTCCTAGACTAAAAGGGGCAGCAAACCCAGTATCCTGGGGGGGGCACTTCAGAACTAACAGTTAATGTGTCCTGACACAAACCTGTATCAGCAACACCTGCAGTCTCTTGGTAAGCTGCTATGTCCAGGCAAGTCTTAAACAGCAAAGCGTCACACAATAGCTTGGAATGCAGTCTCATTCCTTGGAGCTGATGTTCTGTTCTGTACGGGTGCTTGTATCTCCCTCCTTGCTGCAGTGTCTGATCGCCTTCCCATAGCGTGCAAAGTGATTAACCTCTGTCTCGTGGCTCATTCTTTCTCTTCTCCCTAATGGCAGGACTGTGTGCCGTGTGGGGACTTGTTTTAATGTCTGTCTCTCTCCATTGGAGAAGGTTGGACACAAGTGCACCCTGCTGTTGAAAGAAGACTGGGGGGTTAGTAATGACCCTTAGCTTCTGGGGGAGTTCATTTCACACTATGGGACTGGCTCCTGGAAAAGCTGTCTCCTGCATTCCCACTCCACTGTGTCTGTGGAGCAAAGTGTCAGCCGTGACCCTCAGACCGGGCCCAGGCCATTGTGTGTGGTGGAGAGTAGCCATTGAGGGACTGTGAGCAGGATCAGTGTGGAAACTAATTTTTGCTTCTATTCTAGACCTGGCTGGAACTTGGAAACAAGCAGCGAGCCACAGCAGCCACTAGCATGAATGAGAGATGCTCCCCCTCTCACTGTGTTCAAACTGGTAGTGGCTCAGAGTAAGGCAAGCGATCCCATTCCCTCCAGTCTGGTGACTCGGGATAGGTCTGGGATTGTTCTCAACTGGCCCCTGGAGTCTTCCCATACTGGCTTTCATGCCTGTGCAGTAAGATTTGGAGCTATTAAAGTAACTGGACTAGCGTGCAGACTGCTGCCTAGCCATGTGATGATGTAGCCCTGTCCACTATGATTTGAAGGCTGGAGGCAGGAAAGATACTGAATGTTCATATGCTATCTTTGGTGGCAACAAAATCTAATCCCTTGTGTGGTCTTGCAGAGATAACACCTGGAGGAGAAGCACGTGCTCACGTGGTGGTGAGCCACGTGAATTTGGTGGACCTCTCAGGAAGTGAGCGTTACAATTTAGCACAAACCAGTGGGCTGAGAACAAAGGTTGGGTGATGCTTCTTTCTTTGGGGTGGGAGAGGATGGGAAACTGTCTAAATCCAAATGCAATATCTTCCACTGAGTTGGCATGATGTCTATGAAACTCCAAGGGAGCAGTAGCAACCTTGGAGGAACCATTAGACCTAGAACTGGGAGATCTGGTTCTGTGTCTCCAAGAGGAAAGCCAATTAAGTGTGACCCTGATCCTCTACTTATCAGAGTCCCTATCTGATACCTACCTCGTAGTGCTTGGATAACAGATTCTTGGCTGGAAAGTGTTGTAGAAGTGCAAAGTATTGATAGGTTTCAGAGTAACAGCCATGTTAGTCTGTATTCGCAAAAAGAAAAGGAGTACTTGTGGCACCTTAGAGACTAACCAATTTATTTGAGCATAAGCTTTCGTGAGCTACAGCTCACTTCATCGGATGCATACTGTGGAAACTGCAGAAGACATTATATACACAGAGACCATGAACCAATACCTCCTCCCACCCCACTCTCCTGCTGGTAATGGCCCATCCAAAGTGACCACTCTCCCTACAATGTACATGATAATCAAGGTGGGCCATTTCCAGCACAAATCCAGGTTTTCTCATCTCCCCCCCCCCCCACACACACACACACACAAACTCTCTCTCCTGCTGGTAATAGCTCATCCAAACTGACCACTCTCCTTACAATGTGTATGATAATCAAGGTGGGCCATTTCCAGCATAAATCCAAGTTTAACCAGAACGTCGGGGGGGGGGGGGGAAAGGGGTAGGAAAAAACAAGGGGAAATAGGCTACCTTGCATAATGACTTAGCCACTCCCAGTCTCTATTTAAGCCTAAATTAATAGTATCCAATTTGCAAATGAATTCCAATTCAGCAGTTTCTCACTGGAGTCTGGATTTGAAGTTTTTTTGTTTTAAGATAGCAACCTTCATGTCTGTAATTGCGTGACCAGAGAGATTGAAGTGTTCTCCGACTGGTTTATGAATGTTATAATTCTTTTATGTAGAGACTGTCCAGTTTGACCAATGTACATGGCAGAGGGGCATTGCTGGCACATGATGGCATATATCACATTGGTGGATGTGCAGGTGAACGAGCCTCTGATAGTGTAGCTGATGTTATTAGGCCCTGTGATGGTGTCCCCTGAATAGATATGTGGGCACAGTTGGCAACGGGCTTTGTTGGAAGGATAGGTTCCTGGGTTAGTGGTTCTGTTTTGTGGTATGTGGTTGTTGGTGAGTATTTGCTTCAGGTTGGGGTCACTTTGGATGGGCTATTACCAGCAGGAGAGTGAGTTTGTGTGGGGCGGGGCGGAGGGTGAGAGAACCTGGATTTGTGCTGGAAATGGCCCAACTTGATTATCATGCACATTGTGGGGAGAGTGATCACTTTGAATAAGCTATTACCAGCAGGAGAGTGGGGTGGGAGGAGGTATTGTTTCATGGTCTCTGTGTATATAATGTCTTCTGCAGTTTCCACAGTATGCATCTGATGAAGTGAGCTGTAGCTCACGAAAGCTTATGCTCAAATAAATTGGTTAGTCTCTAAGGTGCCACACGTACTCCTTTTCTTTTTGCAAAGTATTGATGTTAGTCTCTCCTTGTTACCTCTATCTGAAAATCCCCAGTCCTGACATCCTGCTATTGATTAGACTTTTCACTGACTTTTCTCAGCCAAGTAGGTGTCTCTAAAGCATGATGGTCAACTAATCCCAAAATGTGAGCCTCCAAGGAAAACCTCACACTTAAGCAAGATGGATTATTTTAACTCTGAGAACATGGATACCCTTTGAAATATCTGGATCTCTGTGGGATACCATGTTGAGAAAAGTAACAGTATAAAACTGGCACACCTTACTCCATGTATTGTATGTTTCCTCTGTGCCATATCTGCTTACTCTACTGACAGATGAAGTCTCCTGCTACAGGTAATCCAGCAGAACTAATGCAGTTTTGGACAACTGAGCTGGATTCTGTGCTGCCACACACATTGTGAATTTAGCTGGCAGCTTGGTTCCAGTTGCTGAATTTGACTAGGGCTGATGTGAGAATCCAACTGGTAGCCGCACCTCTAGCAGCATGTAAAATTTGCTTCTGATTTGCAAACTGGATCTGGAAGCTATTGGGAGAAAACAAGTCTTGGGATCCAGTTCTCATTTACATATAATGATGGAATGCCATAGCTGGGATCTGAAAGGCAGAAACTAAGTTAATTCAGTTAGCTTCTGTATCAAAATCCCCTTCTGGCTGTTACATTACCAAATTTACAAAAGTAACTGCATCTTTCCAGGAAGGTGCTAGTATCAACAAGTCCCTGCTTACCCTCGGGAAGGTGATCTCTGCACTATCTGAAATGTCCCTATTCAAGAGAAAGTGCTTCATCCCTTACAGAGACTTGGTCTTAACCTGGTATGGCAAGGAAACTCCTGGCACCCTCACATGGCTTTCCCATTAAAATCCCATTCTGGGCATGCTTGTTAAACATCATGGGTTTGTAACTGAAACGGAGCTGTCCTACAGGATGACTGATGGAGCTTTTAAAGCTGGACTGCAAATTCAGATTTTGAAAAAAATAGTAAGGGATTCTTCACCAAAGCCTTAGTCCAGCTGGTCTCTTGATATTGCTCCTTAAAGCTTTGCATGCTAACTGAATCTGTGCCTAAGTCTGTATTAGACACCTGACCTTTAATAAAATAGAATGAAGCAAGATACTAAAATACTATGGGCATTTTATAATTTGCCCAATACTGTAGTATCTCAGTGCCTAACAACCTTGTAGATTATTGGGCCTAATTTTAAAGGGATATTTTTGCATAGTTCTGGTTTAACAAAGTCTTTATAAACTAGCAAAAGTGTCTTCTCTAACTAGTGACTCTTGTACCTCCCCGTTACATTTTCACTTTTGCTTCTGGCTCCCATGTGAGCTTTTCTGATCAACATAAGTGAGGTACAAAAGTTAATGCTAAACTTCTAGGCTTCTTAGAGCCTTAACCCTAGAGGCTATTGCAGGAACTAGTATTCCACATGGCACTGTCCCTTTAATCAAGGGTGGGATAGAGGATGGGTGGATTTGGAAACTGGATCTTGCTGCCATTTCCCCAGTGACTTGTGGTCACTGGTAATTTGTCTTCAAAAGCCTCAAAGCAGATTTAGTAGGAGAGCCTTGGTGGTAACTCTAAGATAGCCATCATCAGCCCAACCACTGCACACGTCAAGGAAACTCTGAGCATGCTGCCCTACACCAGTCAAGCTTGCAGCATCATTAATGTGGCCAAGGTCAATGAGGATTCCAGTGCAGTGCTGATCAGAGGTATGGTGCTGAGAAGCGTCTCTTATCAGTCTGGGGTTGATGCCTACAATGGTACAAAATGAAGGGAGGCAAATTATGCTGATACCTTGACATGACAGGGCAGTAAGTTAGAGGGACCCAAAGGAAATATTTCCTGAAGCCGAGAGTAGCTATCTTGTGCCTCTGCTGTATGGAGCCAAGACTAATACTGTGACTAGCTGCTTTCTTTTCCTATATTTAATATTTGCCTGAGAAATCTCCTACACTAGGGTATTGTACACATTGACCAAGTGCACCAGGGGTTTTTACTAGAGGTGGCCAAAAGTGACGCGCTCTGTCCAAAACCAGTGTTTACTGCAATTGTTCCTGTACCCCAGGGTACCTATGTACTCTGACGACTCCAGCGAACACATTCACGAGCCGAATACTCCTGTAGCTAGCCAGGAACTACTGTAGAATGTCCCACAGTGAATTTGTACTGGGACTGGAAGCAGGCAGAGAGATCCTCCGAATAGTGGAATAAAAGTACTATGTGATTCTCTTGTATCCAAAACTGCTCTACTTTCAAACCTCTCACGTTCCCAATGAACTGCTAACAAGCTGCAGGCAAAAAACCTTTTATCAGAATTATTCAAATAATTCTGTCACTATCAGATCTAGATGTCCACAGATGGATACAGTCAAGAACAAGTCGAAGCAAAAACTTAAATACATTTTCCCAGACTGAGAACTTCTTCTTTCCTAGGGATGTTTCCCATGGAGCCCCATACTGCCAAAGCTGTCACTTCTGAAAGGGGAAGGCTTGAGTTGTTTGAATCCAATGTAACTAGTAGAGTTGACAAACTTTAAAGAGGTGTTTTCCTTCTTAAGAACTGAAAGCTGAGATTGAGAGCTGCCCAGCAGTGCGGTCAAGGGATTGATGTGCTGAAATATGAAGTCAGTCTCCAAGAAATCCAGTGTCTGAAAGAAGAAAAGGAGTACTTGTGGCACCTTAGAGACTAACCAATTTATTTGAGCATAAGCTTTCGTGAGCTACAGCTCACTTCATCGGATGCATACTGTGGAAACTGCAGAAGACATTATATACACAGAGACCATGAACCAATACCTCCTCCCACACCACTCTCCTGCTGGTAATAGCTTATCTAAAGTGATCACTCTCCTTACAATGTGTATGATAATCAAGGTGGGCCATTTCCAGCACAAATCCAGGTTTTCTCAGCCACCCCCTTTCCAAAAACCACACACACAAACTCACTCTCCTGCTGGTAATAGCTTATCCAAAGTGACCACTCTCCTTACAATGTGTATGAAAATCAAGGTGGGCCATTTCCAGCACAAATCCAGGTCTTCTCACACACACACACCCCCACAAACTCACTCTCCTGCTGCTAATAGCTCATCCAAACTGACCACTCTCCTTACAATGTGTATGATAATCAAGGTGGGCCATTTCCAGCACAAATCCAGGTTTTCTCAGCCCCCCCCCGCCCCCCCTTTCCAAAAACCACACACACAAACTCACTCTCCTGCTGGTAATAGCTTATCCAAAGTGACCACTCTCCTTATAATGTGTATGAAAATCAAGGTGGGCCATTTCCAGCACAAATCCAAGTTTAACCAGAACGTCTGGGGGGGGGTAGGAAAAAACAAGGGGAAATAGGCTACCTTGCATAATGACTTAGCCACTCCCAGTCTCTATTTAAGCCTAAATTAAATTGAATTCCAATTCAAGTCTGGACTCCAAGTCAGAAACTGCTGAATTGGAATTCATTTGCAAATTGGATACTATTAATTTAGGCTTAAATAGAGACTGGGAGTGGCTAAGTCATTATGCAAGGTAGCCTAAGTCATTATGCAAGGTAGTCTATTTCCCTTTGTTTTTTCCTCCCCCTTCCCCCCCCCCAGACGTTCTGGTTAAACTTGGATTTATGCTGGAAATGGTCCACCTTGATTATCATACACATTGTAAGGAGAGTGGTCAGTTTGGATGAGCTATTACCAGCAGGAGAGTGGGGTGGGAGGAGGTATTGGTTCATGGTCTCTGTGTACATAATGTCTTCTGCAGTTTCCACAGTATGCATCCGATGAAGTGAGCTGTAGCTCACGAAAGCTTATGCTCAAATAAATTGGTTAGTCTCTAAGGTGCCACAAGTATTCCTTTTCTTTTTGCGAATACAGACTAACATGGCTGTTACTCTGAAAAGTGTCTGAAAGAACAGCTTGCTGAACGGGAAAGAGAACTGGAAGAATCACAGAAGTAAGAAATCTCTCCCCCTCCATTTAGGGAATGAGGTTTTGATGGGCCATGTGGGTCTTCTCAGTTAAATGTTCTACTATGCTAGAAGCAAATATTTCAGAGCTTACTGTTCTGATCTTCTACTACTTACACACCACTTTCTAGTATTGCAATGCTTATATCATTGTGCTGTGGTCCTTCACATGTCACTCATCTAGGACTAAGGCCTGGATTTTTGGGTTCCTGTTCACTAATGTTGCCAATCACACTTTTGTATACTAATGTGTGTGTAATGTTAGTGATGAAACTGTAGAATTGATATAATGGTAAGGCTGAAGACTTGTTCTAGGTCCTGGCAGGAGAAGCTGGCTTTAGCGGAACACCACAAGACGGAAGAGGAGCAAGAACTGCAGGTATGGAGAGTGAAGCATATATCCTACATAGTCAGAGTGAGGGGAGGCTCTCCTAACCAGCAGAGGCTGGTGACCTCTCTCTAAATGTGTGGATAAAACTGATACAGGTGAGGTCAGAGTCAGCTTGCAGAAGCAGGAAAAGATCCTAATGTGTAACTCCCTTTATGGGAATCAAAGCAATCCCCATCAGTCCTGAAAAACTACCAGCAAGATGGGGTGGAGGTGGAATATTAAACTTGCTATCCTCTGTACAGGATCAAACTGTCTGAATGGGAAGGCGGGTTCTGTGACAGAACTTGTCTCATACAAAATCCTATTGCAGTAAGAGCTCTAACTGGAGAAACTGATTGCACAAAAATAGGTGAGACAACTTGTTGCCATAACACTCTTTCCAGCTTACAACAGAGGCTGCTATTCCATTGGGTATCTGTATGTACCAGAGAACAATATACAGCTTTAAATTTTCAGTGTACTTCTATTGTATTTGAGAACACTGGTGCCCTCTAGTGGCCAATCCAGCTTTGACATCTGTCAGTTGAAGTTACTGCCTGGTAGTGGGGACTGTCTGAAGGTTAGAAGGAGTTCTGTTTCTGAGGCCTCCTTTTAAATACGAAATCCCCTAACTGTGAGAAGGGAGGGCTAGGTTCTCATCTGTTAGCCATAACCCACTAGCCGCTCATGACTAAAACCCTGTTCTATCTGCTGCCTCCTCATAGAAAGCTGGAGTGTGCTTTAAAGTTGACAACCATCTACCAAACCTAGTAAATCTAAACGAAGATCCACCACTGTCAGAGATGCTTCTCTATATCATCAAAGAGGGAGAAACCTCAGTGGGGAGTCTTCATCCAGACTCTGAGCATGACATCCATGCTCAAATAAATTGGTTAGTCTCTAAGGTGCCACAAGTACTCCTTTTCTTTATCCAGCTGACAGGTGCACTCATTTCAGAGGACCACTGGTAAGTCCTCTTAAAGTTGACACCATTTTAAAACCACCTATAGGGGAGATCTCCCTGAGCTCCAAGCAGGCCTTCTAGCCAGAGTCTAAACTGCTGAATTTCCCCACTGAACTCCTGAACGTGGACTTTCTTCCCAAAGGTTGCTAGCTTCTCAGTCGTGTGCCGCTCTGCTTGAGCTAGGGGAGCTGTCCATGCTGGTGGCAGATGTACATACCAGACTATAGCTGGGTTCTAGTCCCCAAAAAAAAAAAAAAAAAAGTGTCACTTTTCAAACTGCTTCTTACTCAACAGGTCCTGCTACCTGTGGGTAGTCAGACCTAGCTGGTGAAGTTGGTTACTATTGCTTTATTCTCTGGCTGGCCTGGCAGAGCCATCACAGCTGTGAAAGAGATGGATTCTCTGACCTGGGCATCAGAATGGCCTGTGGCACTCCAGTTATAGCCATCCACTGCCTCAGAGCACAATTTGAAGTAGATGGGGTGATAGCTGTAAAACCCTAATGGCTGAGTTTAGCCCGGCAGAACCTTTATTACTGAGGATGAAAGATGACTGCTTGATACTGTGGTCCCAGGCTGAGTTTGAAGGGCTGACATGTAGAAAAATGTCTTTACTTGTAAACATTTGATGGAGGGACTGAGACCATGATCCAGGAATGCCATGGTGCTATTTGCAGTCTCTTTTCAGAATAGAGCTGCACTTCACCTTGTGGGATCCAAAATATGTCCACTTCTGCCTTGGGGTTAGCTTTGAAATAAGAACCATAACACTAGCAGATACTTACTGTATCCTCTTGAAGACTAGTGCAATTTCTCACAAGCTTATCTGTTGTGTATCTCTGAAGGACTCATGATCTTACTCTGCAAAAAGCTGCACTCTGTGTCTAGTGGAAGTTAGGCCTAACAGCTGATTTTTCTCTTCTTTGCTCCCATCACCAATGAGCAAGGAGTGGTCATCTTAAGTCCTATCCCGGATGCCAGGACATTTGTGAATGGAAACCTCCTAGTTGAGGCAGTCACCCTACACCATGTAGGGATCCTAGTCTACTGCTCAGTGTTGATAAATGCAAAGTAATGCATGTTGGAAAACATAATCCCAAGTATACATACGAAATGGTGGGGTCTAAATTAGCTGTTAACACTTGAAGTCATCGTGCACAGTTCTCTGAAAACATTTGTTCAATGTGCAGTGGCAGTCAAAAAAAGCTAACAATGATAGGAACCGTAAGGAAAGGGATCGATAATAAAGCAGAATATATAATTCTACTGTGTACATTCATGGTACACCCACACCTTGAATATTGTGTGCAGTTCTGGTTGCCTCATATTGAAAAACATATATTAGAATTCAAAAAGGTGCAGAAGAGAGGGGCAGTGAAAATGATGAGGGGTATGGAACAGCTGCCATATAAAGAGAGATTAAAAAGACTGGGACTGGTCAATTTAGAAAAGAGACAGCTAAGGGGGGGAGATGCTAGAGGTCTATTAAAGTCATGAATGGTGGGGAGAAAGTGAATGGGGAAGTGTGTTACCTCTTCACATAACACAAGAATCAGGGTTCGCCTGATGAAATTAATAGGCAGCAGGCTTAAAACAAAGTGTTTATTTCTTCACACAATGCACAGTCAACATGTGGAATTTATTGCCACGGGATGTTGTGAAGGCCAAAAGTATAACTGGCTTCAAAAAGAATTAGACAAGTTCACACAAGATGGGTCCATCAATGGCAAGATGGTCAGTGATGCAACCCCATGCTCCTGATGTCTCCAAACCCCCAATTGCCAAAGCTAAGACTGGACAACAGGATGGATCACTTAAAATTGATCTGTTCTGCTTGTTCTCTCTGAAGCATCTGGTACCAGCCACTGTCAGAGACAAGATACTGGGCTAGATGGACCGTTGGTCTGACCCAGTATGGCCATTCTTGTGTGCCTATGTACAGTCAGTAGCTAACATGCCGTTCCCCATGATTTTGTGTAAAGTGTGTATGGGACAGATGGGGAACTAAACTGCAGAATGACTCTTAAACCATTAAAGCTATAGCTGCTGTTCTTGTCCCTTATTCCTGATCTTTACAAGCCTTGAAAAGAGAGAGTTCTTGGTATCTAAAGGGGGTTGTGTGTGAGGCAAACCCACTTTGCCAGTGACTACCTTGCTGTGTGTGAATCCCTATTGTAATACCAAATCCGTGACCCTGAGGTTCACTCAAGCCCTTTTCAAGGGCAATCTTATTGAACAGGGAAAAACACTCTTAAAATCAATAACTGGTTAATAGTGAACTCTGGCACATTTGAGGCTAAATTACAATAGGAAGCTACCCTGTTAGAGGAGTGGTTCCCTTAAACAAGCTTCTTGTGGGCTGGGCCTGGGAATGTCTCCTGTAATGTTAACTTTAAGATGTGAGGATACCTTGTGTTGTGATATTTAAGGCATAACTTCAGTGTGTGAAGTTAATAACTCACTTACTGGATATGCTGGCTTTTTGTGGGAGGGGATGGTGCTCCTCTTTCAGATCACTGCTTTGATACCTTGTGACTCTCCTATTTATCCTTGTTAGGGGGACAGAGTGATTCTTGGTGGGAACCATTACTTCAGATTCAATCACCCAATGGAGGTCAAGAATGGGCGCCGTGCCTCTTTGATGCCAGCAGGGGGAGCTGATGGGCTGAGGGACTTTGAATTTGCTAAAAATGAGCTAGTTGAAGCTCAGAAGCAGAGGTAACTGGATGTATTCTGTGACCTTCCCTAATATCTGCTTTGAGCAAAAGTATTTGATCTGCAGTCTTAGGAACTCTGGAAACTGCAGACAGAGGCAGTTTGTTCTGTGTATTAACTTGTCTGGCAGCCTTGGAAAATGCCCCATGTGTTCTAGGGTTAAAGCATTTTGCGAGCAATTTGAGCACTTCCAGTTCTGTCTTAACAGCATTATGTGCTGAGGATGCTCTGTTTGCTGTATAATGAAGGGATAATGCTGGGCTTCGTAGAACACTGCACGTACATGAGAATGATCATGTCGTTTTCCAATGGACTCTGCTAATTATGCTTGCATGTTAGTGTGGGTAGGGGGAATAAGGGAAACTTCCTGCAGTTGGTGGTGGGTGTGGGTGTGGCGGGGGGGGGGGGGTAGTATAAAATAGCTAAATGACTGCGCTACTCGAATCTGGCATCTTTCACAAGCACTATAGACTTGCTTCAAAAATACATCTTGAAATAACGAGTGTTCGTTAGGGCTGGTTCTGCCTTGACTGTAGCTCCTAGACTGCCCCAGACAGTGCTACGTGTGGAGGGCAACATAGCTACGTGTGGATGGCGAAATCAATATTTCAACATGGCAATGTTGCATAAGTCTCAATTAGAAACTCTGCTTGTCTGCTTGCACTTCCTCTTCCTCTAGAGCAGGATTAGGGTAAATGTGGCATGCCTGCCCGTGTCAGACAGAGGACATGGAAACTTGAATGAATGTGAGACTTAGAAGAGATTCTGATCTCAAAGGGAGCAAAGCTGACTGGGCCATCATGCTGTCAAGTACCTCTCTCAAATTCTATCTTTATTGAACCAGTAACTATCGGATTCCAGGGAGTAGACAGGAGCCCTGACTCTCTGTCGCACCCTCAATCGTAATAAACTGGTTTTGATCCTTCTGAAATGAGTGGCGAGAATGTTGGTGAGCCTGGAGGTATACTACCCACACTGGGCAGGAATGGGCTAGGACTCAACAGGTCTTTTCACCCTGCATCTCTTCTAATTTAATTGTTGAACAACTCATACTGAAATTGCTAACTTTGAGTTTTCCATTAGATGCTCTTCAGTTTCAAAATACTTCCAGTTTTTAGACATAAACACCCATAAAATCATTTCAACCTTCTAATATTGTATCAGTGTGAAATACTTAACAGTAATGCAGAAGGAGCCGGTAGAGGAAACATAAGAGCATGCATTTCAGAGCATGTTCATGCCAAGTGATGATGCACCAAATCCCATTACATGGTGGATGTTGTAGGATAACTTTTCCCCCTCTTATTTTCACTGGATTTGACTAGATCCTAGGAGAATGGACTTCCATGTCCTTGGTGTTCTGAAGCAGACCTGCTGATCTCTCTGCAAAACTGATGTCTTTCTGGGTTCCCTTTGCATGTAGAATCATAGAATATCAGGGTTGGAAGGGACCTCACGAGGTCATCTAGTCCAACCCCCTGCTCAAAGCAGGACCAATCCCCAACTAAATCATCCCAGCCAGGGCTTTGTTAAGCCTGACCTTAAAAACTTCTAAGTAAGGAGATTCCACCACCTCCCTAGATAACGCATTCCAGTGTTTCACCACCCTCCTAGTGAGTTTTTCCTAATATCCAACCTAAACCTCCCCCACTGCAACTTGAGATCATTACTCCTTGTTCTGTCATCCGCTACCACTGAGAACAGTCTAGATCCATCCTCTTTGGAACACCCTTTCAGGTAGTTGAAAGCAGCTATCAAATCCCCCCTCATTCTTCTCTTGCGCAGACTAAACAATCCCAGTTCCCTCAGCCTCTCCTCATAAGTCATGTGTTCCAGTCCCCTAATCATTTTTGCTGCCCTCCGTTGGACTCTTTCCAATTTTTCCACATCCTTCTTGTAGTGCGGAGCCCAAAACTGGACACAGTACTCCAGATGAGGCCTCACCAATGTCGAATAGAGGGGAACGATCACGTCCCTCGATCTGCTGGCAATGCTCCTACGTATACATCCCAAAATGCCATTGGCCTTCTTGGCAACAAGAGCACACTGTTGACTCATATCCAGCTTCTCGTCCACTGTAACCCCTAGGTCCTTTTCTGCAGAAATGCTGCCGAGCCATTCGGCCCCTAGTCTGTAGCGGTGCATGGGATTCTTCCGTCCTAAGTGCAGAACTCTGCACTTGTCCTTGTTGAACCTCATCAGATTTCTTTTGGCCAATCCTCTAATTTGTCTAGGTCCCTCTGTATCCTACCCCTACCCTCCAGCATATCTACCACTCCTCCCAGTTTAGTGTCATCTGCAAACTTGCTGAGGGTGCAATCCACACCATCCTCCAGATCATTTATGAAGATATTGAACAAAACCGGCCCGAGGACCGACTCTTGGGGCACTCCACTTGATACCGGCTGCCAACTAGACATGGAGCCATTGATCACTACCCATTGAGCCCGACAATCTAGCCAACTTTCTATCCACCTTATAGTCCATTCATCCAGCCCATACTTCTTTAACTTGCTGGCAAGAATACTGTGGGAGACAGTGTCAAAAGCTTTGCTAAAGTCAAGGAACAACACGTCCACCGCTTTCCCCTTAGCCACAGAGCCAGTTATCTCGTCATAGAAGGTAATTAGATTTGTCAGGCATGACTTGCCCTTGGTGAATCCATGCTGACTGTTCCCGATCACTTTCCTCTCCTCTAAGTGCTTCAGAATTGATTCCTTGAGGACCTGCTCCATGATTTTTCCAGGGACTGAGGTGAGGCTGACTGGCCTGTAGTTCCCAGGATCCTCCTTCTTCCCTTTTTTAAAGATGGGCACTACACTAGCCTTTTTCCAGTCGTCCAGGACTTCCCCCGATCGCCATGAGTTTTCAAACATAATAGCCATTGGCTCTGCAATCACATCCTCCAACTCCTTTAGCACTCTCGGATGCAGCGCATCTGGCCCCATGGACTTGTGTTTGTCCAGCTTTTCTAAATAGTCCCGAACCGCTTCTTTCTCCACAGAGGGCTGGTCACCTCCTCCCCATGCTGTGCTGCCCAGTGCAGTAGTCTGCTCATGGGCAGAGTTTGGGGCCATCAGTAACAGTTCATTGAAAGTCCCATTCCATAACCTGAGGAAACAGTAAGGTAGGCCCAGGCTGTGGCCACTTCTGCTTTTGCTCTTCTTCTACTTCCAGAATTGAAATAGAGGTGGAGGAAGCCAGACTGCAGGCACAGAAGGAAATGATGGAAGAGCTTCAGATGGCCAAGGAGCTGGCTCAGCAGGAGCTATGGGCTCAAAGGAGGCTTTATGAGAATAACATCAAACAGCTGGAAGAACAGCTGGTAAGTTTCTTAGAGTGCCTCCCCCCATTTCAAAGCAACAGCAAGAAATCCACCCTCCACTCTTCAGCCATTCAAACTGCATCAATGAGAAACAGCCGATTATGTTAATGGTCATGCTTGAAGCTAGCGGGTCTCAAGAATAGCATTTACCACAGCCTACATTTGTCAAAGGGTGGGTGGGAGGCTCTGAATTAAATGTGCCTGGTCTAAGCACCTCTGAACTCTAGGAAAATCTGGCTTCAGATTTCTGACCCACCTGAAATCCATGTAACAAGCGATTCCTTTCCACCCTCACCTTATAGCAGGAAGTTAAAATTCCAACCTTCTGTTCTCCAGTGGATTTGGGAAGGAAGCAAGGCAGTCATTCAAAAGCAGCCTTGCAGGATGTACACGGTATGGCCCACACACCTGCATGAGCAGCCCCGCAATAGCCCATGTGTTGGAGAGGAAATGCCCATTCCTGAGGCTTTGCTTTCAAGCTTCCAGGTTGGCGTGCTCACTATTGAGGCCCTGGCAGATATTTCAGTGGGAGCTGGTAACTGTCGGGGGTGGGGAAGAATGGCCTTAATTCACACTTCTGCCTGCCTCAGGGAGAAGAAGAAATGAACAAGAAATTTCTGAGTACAAGGAAGGCTGCTGAAGAGCTACTTGTGCAGCTGCCGGCCCTCACTCAGGTCAGTAAGTAGAAGGCTGTGGTGCAGAAGACCAAGCTCTGAAGTAGTTTATAGAAGAAAGAATGTGTTTGTCAGCGTGTGACTGTCCTTGGAGGAGTCACAGATTCTGCTACTGCAGTGCCAACAGCTTTGCTTTAAACAAAACCTATGAACCAAACGTGGCTAGTGCGTCCTTTCCCATACATGACTGGTGGCAGACTTGACTTTTCTTTCCATAGCACCTGCTGACGTTGTAATTACATTGAGATAAAATTACATAACACGTCATCCTACCTTCCCCCCACCCCCTCCTTTTAGCATTCTCCTGCCTCGTCCTCTCCATTAGCAGTGATTCCTGCCTGGATACCCCTTTTGTCTCTCTCACAGATCCCTCTACACCGTTCAAACTATCCCTTAGTTCAGAGCATCAAGACCTATTCCTAAAACTTCTTTTGTGCAGCACTGCTAGAAAATAAAGGTTTGTAATTAAATGGCTTTCAATGCATTCAGTATTGGCTTAAGTCTACTCCTGCTGAACTCAGCGGTAATCTGATTTCATTGGGAATACAGTCTGGTCAATGCTGAGCACTTCTGAATAGCCCACCCTAAAATTGTGTGTGCCACCAGTAATGTACTAGATGCTAAATGTGGGCAACTACATAATTCTGTCTCTAACTACATTTGTCCTTGGATTTCCCCTCCCTGGGATGCTATCCCATCTAGTGCATCATTTAGATTATCAACTCTTTGGGCTTAGACTTGTCTGTGAGGAGTCTAGCACGCTTCTGCACCTGATGAATAAGAGTCATGTTCTTTAAATGGTTAACTTGTGACTACAAGCATTAAGATGGAATGGCTGGTCAGTCACAAGAGCTGGGGATTTAGTGTTTCAAGGAGTGATGGCCTCAGGGAAGAGTCTGGGGATGGAGAGCCCTGGTGTTCTTAACTGGTACTGTAGTGGTGTGCTGAAAGAATTGTGGCTCATGTCTCTTGAAGGCTCAGGATACCCAGCAAAAATGCAGCATGTTCCTGGAGCTCCTTGAGCAGGAAAAAGAGAAGCTAGCTCAGGAGATGGAGCTGCTACAGCGACGCATGCCACCAAAGAGCAGGAAAGGAAGATTGTGTCCACGGAGAGTAAGGTTTTTCATATCCTCCGCAAACTAAACTTCAGGCTTTTCTTGTCTGGGTAAACTTACTGGAATTGTTTCCATTTCTAGACCAAGCTCAGTGGACAGCCCTCCAGCTTTCTATAATGCTGCAAGAAGTCAATGTCATTAGCAAGAACTTAAACAAGCACACGATCTTCAGCAGGTAGCCCTGTTTGCTGGAGTTAGGTCTCAACCCCGCTCAAGAAATTTATAAAAGGCAGAGAGGTCTAAACCTCTTAAAATGAAGCTGGCTGTTCTGAATTCTGTTAGATATTGGTTCTGCAGCTACATAGTCCAATGTAGAGTGCAACTTGAATGTGCTTCCTTAAGGAACACCACCGGTGTGGATGGAACCCAGTACCCTTCACACACCAGTCTTGTGTGGCACAAAATGGAAAAAGGGGTGTGGTAACTGTGGACAAATGTCTGAACCAGAATGATGAGAATTGGCATGAAACTTCCACTGTGATTTTGTAATGGCTTAAGTGGGAGCAAACTTGGATACTGGGAAAGTGGGTGGCTCAGAGAGAACATCACTAAAGCTGTTTTAGAAGAAGATAACAGAGTAGTAACGGAGTAGTAACAGTTTGGGGCAGGCTTCACGTTCCAGCAGGGCCTCTCCTGCATGATTCTGGATGGCTGGTGAATGTATTTGAGAGGTGTATCTTTAACAAGAGCTTGTGTGTACTTGCTGTCAGCTTTCTTGTGAATTTAAGAATGCATCCAGTTACCATGGCATGTGGTGGAAAGTTCAGCTTGTTCATGGGGGAGAAATGTTAACACATGAAATCTCTTCTTCATCCGTCTGCTAACTGCAGTCACTGCTGGGGCTACTGGGCTTAGATTAACAGTAGACCGATAGTCACACTTCCAAATGATAGAACCGTGCATGGTTTTCTAGGTATGACCTACCAGCTATGAATGGAGAACCCGCAACTGTGTGCATCCAAGTCACCAACACAAAACTGGGATCTACACTCTGTGGAATCTAGAAATATTTGAGGAGAAACATTTCTCTCATTGAGACAAGCATCAGGTACAGTCTCATGCTTTAGCTGCTACTTCAGTGATACGTGGGCAGGGTAAGAAATTGAAAGAAGCCAGGTAACTTGTGATTCTGAAAAAAACTCACTCCAACTCCAGACTCTCTTGTGCCATGGCACAAGCAAGCGTGGGGAAATTTGGCTTTGTGCTCTCTTGGTGTGCAGCCATCCTACCAAGGGCAGTGGAGACTGCAAAATGTTTCTACATGGCCAGCCTGAGATTTAGTGTTGAAACTGAGTCTGCTGCAGCTCTTCTGGGTCTGCATCCTTCCTGCTCTTCAGTACTACTGCTAGTCTGTCCCTTAGGAGGGGTCATGCTGTTCGTGGAGACATCATTAGTAACTATCCCTTCTCCGGGACTGGCAAATCAAAGCCTCAGCATTGAGACCAAGTTAAATTTTACCTGGACTACTTTGTTTTGTTAATGAGGGAACGCCTGTTAAATTACTAATGCTACTGTTTTGGAGCTCCGCCCATGCCCTGTGAGGAATCTCAGTGGATACTGTGACTGCCTGAATAAAAGGGGGAAAAGGGCAGGGAGAAGAGAACTTTCAATGTTTCCCTACAGTTATTGTTTAAACTTTGTCACTAAAAGTTGGTGCAGACATTTCACGCGATTGTCGCACCTGTGTAGGTTGTTAGTGAGCTCTTCAACCTCCAATCCTGGCTCTTGTAGGCACTCCTGAAGGTCCTAGGAGATCTAGATGTGCCAGACACAGCACTTTTACCTTATGTGCTGCTGGGGATGCAATAGAAGGAGAGCAGTTTTGTGGAGATTGAAAGACCAGACACAGATTAACAAGAATCCCCTCCTCTAAAAATGGCTGTCAAAGCCAAATGTTCTTCCTTAGCAGTGCCTCCTGCAATAGCCAGTCCAAGCCCAGGAAATCTGCTAAAAGCCACCAGAATGTGAGGTTAAGGGGAAAATAATGTATGTTCTGATACCAATAAATAAGGCAAAATTACTCCTCTGGCTAATACTGACATGAGGAAAACCAAGAGTTCAAACTACATTCATGCCTTGGTACACCCTGCTATACTCAGCAGATCTACCCTGCTCACGTTCTCCCCGCCTGCTGACCAAAGGCTGAAGCACCACTGGTCTCCCCATGTTCGTGTCTAGTACTGCAACAGGTCTGGCCTCAGTTTCCCCCTTTATTTCCTAATGTGACTTTTGCAGAGGAAAATGCTACCTATTGGCAAGTGCTTACCCTTCAGAACAGAGGGCACACCTTCCAGTATGCTTTGTTCATTCACAGTTTTTTCTCTCCAATTTTAGGTGTAGTTTATTGAGATTTCAAACGTTATATTAAATGCTTCCCATCTTTTCCTCAGGGACCCTGTGCTGGCAATGGAGATGGCCTCTTTTATGATCTGACTGGTACCTGGGAAGCAGTTGTGAAATCTCCATCACCGAACAGGTGCAGGCAGACCGGAGGAGTCCAACAGCATTAGTGCTTTAGTCAAGACAAACGGCTGTGATAGCACTTCATAGTGTGGTGCTTAGGACAAAAGCTAGAATTTTATAGCAGAGGCAAATGGAAGAGATGGGTGAGGGGGAGAGATGGGATTTTCTGAACCTTTCTATGCGGGAGGGATTTCTACCCTACCCCTATGTGTGATCCCATGCATCAGAGGGAACTCTGACTGTCTCGATAATCTGGAGAGCTGCCTGCTGTTGGGAACCTGGTCAGCCTCTGTTGTACATCCTTACAGGTCAGAAGGAATGGTCTGCAGAGCCCACTGCTGCTGGGGTAGTAAGGAAGATCTAGCAAATGTGGCCCCATCCATGTGGGCTGGAAGCAAGGACTGTATGTAAACTCTGCTGCAGCTAAATCAGCTTTTAGCATGGCATTGCCTGGGTCAAACTCTGTTAGAAGCATTATTCTGAAAACCAACAACTGAAGGACATGGCTGAGATCTGTGCTGACCAGTCCTCAGTTACCACAATGACCCTCGGACAACTACCTTGAGGCTAGTGGACACTGTGTGCTTTCAGAATACAGCTTAAAGGGGCCTGAGCTATAAAACGGGGCAGAGGCTTGAAATCCTGTTGAAGTGCAGGGAGTGTTCAGCTTTGGGCTTTCGAGGCCTGGCTAGCCCAGGACCAGAAATGGGCTTAGTGAGAACCCTGTTGAAATCCAGCTTTAAACAGGCTTCCCAACTCTGTTCAACAGCCAGTCTGGATGTGATGTGGGTGACTAGCTAAGCCAGCCAAATCCTTTTAGGAGAAACTGATGGGGGTGGGGGAGGAGAGAAGGGGTGGAGGGGCTTGTCTGCATGGAGTGAAGGTGTAGGGAGGAGGGGTGTCTGGGAATAGAACCGAATGGCCTGTCTAGTGCTGGGTGGATGGCAGACAGGAATAGTCAGTGGCGTGAGAGTAACTGAATAAGAAGAATAATGGCTACAGCTCCTATTTTTTCCACTAAAAGTTCCTAGGTTACTCTGCTTTGTTATAGATGATAGCTCTAAATAGGAGCTTTGCCCAGCCTCCCTCGAAAGGCTCTGAAATATCAGCAGCTGGTGTCCTGCTGCGTGGGGACACAATTGAGTCTGTTCCTGCAGACAATATGCCTGTCACTGGAAAACATAAAACTGGCAATTAATGGAAAAGGCTCTGTGTTGAGCTTTCAGTCTGGACAATACGAAGGGTCTGGAAAAGCAAGATTAAGCCTGGCATGTCTACAGGAGCTTGTTAAACCGCCTCAGCGAGGTTTGTTTTAGGCATTCAAAAAAAAAATGGTCAAAGTTGACTCTTCAAATGAGCCTAGGACGAAGGCTGGCGTCGGAATAGAACCAGCAACACTGAGTCTGAGCCTGGGAAAGGAAGGACTGTCTTCTCCTCACCTGAGCAGTACCAGAGCAGTCAGCTGGGTGCAATGTGGCCCATCCAAAATATACATCAAATAGGATTTGATACAAATCCAATTTTGGCTACAGTTCCTCCAACTACTGCCCTCAAGTAGTGTCTAAATACAACCTGCATCAAGACTTAAATATATGAAATCTTTCTACGGTGCCCTGAAAACATCAAGGGGTGACTACTCAGCATTTAAAGTCTCTGTGGGAGTTTAGTTACAAAACACAACACATTTACTAATGTGAAGGTCTGGGTACTAGACACACTATGCAGATAGCACATGGAATTAGCATTTGCACAATTCTCTGTTTAAAATGTGCTGCCCCAGTGCTCGAAATAGATGGATGAACTTCAAAGTGAACCAGCACATAAACCCTCCTGCACTCCAACCGCCCCCCCCTCCTCCACCCCTGAAAGCACCGAATTTCCCGTGACCCGGTTCTGGGCACTCAACTCACCCTGACTCCTAGTAAGAACTACACAGAACAAATAGAGCTCACAGCATGACTTGAAAGTTAACACATGTCTCTCCCTGGTAAACCAAATGGTGGGGGGGGGGCAACTTCCCCAGGTGTCCCACTAACACAGCCTTCCTGACCTCCAAAGTGGGGAGCAGTTAGCTTGAGTGGCCTGGCTGAGCTCCAATGCCATGGCCTTACACCAGACAGCATAAAGGAGGGTCTCTGAGGTACTTGGTAACTCAAACCATTTTAAGACTTTGTAGGCTCAAGCTAACCGTACCTGGAACTGGGCCCAGGTACCTTCTGGGTTTAAGTCACAAGCCTGAAGTTCTCCAGGTAAGAAATCTAAGAACCTTTTCTCTGCTCTTTGTGCTGTCAAAGAATGGGGCTTAAATTCTTTGGAGCCAAGTCCAGCTTCCCATCTTTCTGCAAGTGGTACAGAATAGCTCCTAATGGCTCTCCTAGGAAACGAAACGGTAAGGAAGGGCTGGGGAGAAGCAGATGTGAATCTTTCTTCATGCTGCTTAAAGCCCCATAGCCCAGGAGATGACTCCCTGAGCCACTGGGTGTAATCCCATTACATCGAAGGGAAGCACTAGCATCCCATCTATGCTTTAACTCTTGTGGAGTGGATTGGATCCTTTTCTTAAGGCGGGGGGAAACAAACCCACAAGGATGCAGGCAGCTTGGCCAGCTAATCTCAAACTCCTTGTTTTCTGTCAGGGGCAGGAGTCCTCTCAG